GTGTGTGTGTGTGTGTGTGTGTGTGTGTGTGTGTCCGTCCGTCCCTGCACTACAGAATGGATGTAGACAAATTGGAGAGTCCAGCAGGGAGCAACAAAAATGGTTAGGGGGTTGGGGCACATGACTTATGAGAACAGGCTGAAGGACCTGGGCTTATTTAGTCTGGAGAAGAGAAGACTGAAAAGTGATTTAATAGTGGCCTTCAACTAACTGAAGAGCAGTTCCAAAGACGATGGAGCAAGACTGTTCTCAGTGGTGGCAGATGATAGAACAAGGAGTAAGGGTCTCAGGCCGCAGCAAGGGAAGTTGAGATTAGAAGATATCAGGAAAAAACTCTCTCACTACAAAGGTAGTGAAGCACTGGAACACATTACCCAGAGAGGTTGTGGAATCTCCATCCTTGGAGGCTTTTAAGACGCAGCTAGACAAAGCCGTCGCTGGGATGATCTAGTTGTGGATGGTCCCACTTTGAGCAGGGAGTTGGACTAGATGACTTCCTGAGATCCCTTCTAACCCTAATTTTCTATGATTCTATGAAGGCTGCATGCAAGGTCCCACTATACAGAGTACAAAACTTTCAAATGGGCTTGAGCCCCTGCTTGGAGATTTCAAGATGACTGTTTCTCCATGGGGCCAAGCTGTCCAAAATTGTCAGGCCTAGAAAAACTGATTCTGTATCTGTGATAATCAGACAGATTTCTGCCTACCCACTCCAAGGACTTTAGACAGAGAATGAAGGAGCAAGGAAGAGGGAAAGTTGCTCAGTATTTACACTTTAGCATTCGGTCCCCAGAGTTTCTAATTAATTAAGATCAGACTTCAGCATGCCCTACTCCAAAGCTGGCAAAGTCACTATCCAGGCTTACTGGAAAACATCCGACTTTAGCCTTGAGGCTTCACTGTAAGAGATTCTCAAAAGTTAACTGATTCAGTCGCCCCAGCTCTTTAATCAGATGGGGAGAGGCAGATGCCAGAACAATCGCACAAAACCTGGGTGCATACCAATACAACCAGACAGTCTGAAGAGCTGAGAATCAAGTTGGTGAATTGCAAAAGACTGTGGACTGAAAGCAAAGTGCATGACAGCTGCACATGATGCATCCTGGCCTCTGAGCACCTGCTTCTCTTCCTTCTGTCACAGAGCTTGGCACAACACAGATGATTCATTTAAGCCTGTTGCTGCCATTACACTCAAGTGCCCATGATGAGATACAAGCTAAAAATTCAACTCTCAAAGCTTTAAAAGAGCTTCTGAGTCCTGCCAGGAAACTTGGCCAAACATCCCCTTTAAGAAGCATTTTGCTACTGGGGTAGCATACTTGCTGCATTTTCATTCCAATGACTTACTACGAGCATTCAGTTGGAAAAGGACATTTGTGACTAAGGGTTCACCTGCCCCAACTCTCCATGCACTTCATTGCCTTGTAGGACACTACAGACTCCTGCTCTGCATGTGGAGGCATAGAGCTAGGTCAGATGCACCCTAAATCAACACCCCGCCTTAAACCATACAGTTTTAGTACTTGAGAGAAAATAAGAGGAGAACCTGAAGACAGATCCAGCAGAATATTTCTTGTATGGTATCCAAATCTTTTAAAATTTCAATGCAGACCACAAGAGACATTGTTTCCCTTCCCAGCCATCCAGAATTTCACAGAAATTCTACTGTCCAACAGAAAAAAGTTATTCCAGTGCTACGCTTCAAGTCTGAGATTTGGCAAACAGCAAGGGATGCCTTTACTAACATTTCCTAGTTACTTTAAGAGAATGGATGGGATGACAGCCTTGCCACCAGCACTGTCCTGAAGCTAAGTGCCTCCCCCAGGATGGAATCCAATGCCCTTCTGCAGAGGCTCTCTGGTAGAAGGCTGCTAGGATATCATTTACCTTTTCAGGGATAGGAGAGTGATTAAGAAGTCTCCGACTTTTAGAAATTAACTTGTATATCAGGTAAGAGGAGCATTTTAAAACCAGACAGGCGGGCTGGGGTGTAAGCTCTCCTTACACAACTCTGACATGCCTTAGTCCTGTGACACTTGGCTCACTGAGAGTCCAGGCCTCTATCAATCCTGACTTCACAGCACCCTCTCTCTTGCTCCAGTTACAGCTAGAGGTAATACATACAGATTTAAAGTTAATACAGTAGAATAATCAACACAGCAGTTTTGAGATGTGGACATGGGGTCATTGTCTTGTGAGAGAGGCAACATTTAAAGGCAGCTCTCCAAGGTTGCATGCAATTTAATCTAGCCATTCTGTGGGATGGAAGAAAAGCCAGAAAGGCTGGAAGATGCTGTTGATCTGTGTGTGTTTACTGCTCATTTCTGACCCCCTTCACCCCTCCATTCTCAGAGGCCAAGTCATTAGGCACTGGGAAGTCAACAACAGAAATGAGAGGGGGAGTTGTTTGTTTTTCTAAAAAGTGCTTACACGGAGCTCTCCAAAATTCAGAAGCCTCCAGCCAACCCTGATGGAAGTGCTGAAACTGTCACACTGCCAAATGCAACACTGCCTAGTCACAGTGTGGGTGTGTAAGTCAGGGAAGGGCCCATTCACCATTCTGGACCAGTCAGTGATCCCACACCTGTTACTGGCTCCATTATTGGAAAACAGAGGATGTGGCTGCAGTGCAAGCTTTGCTAAATCTGTTGGGCAGATTTCTTTTTGCTTTGCTGCGTGCCTAGGCCTGATGGTGATTAAGTAAAACACTTACTTTTTTGAGATAATTGCATTCTCAAACAAAATTTCTCTTATGGTTTAAAAATTGACAGAGCTGATTTAAATTATTAGAGGAATCCACAAGACTCAGACTTCACACGCTGACAGTTATTGCTGAGTTATACAAGCTCTGGGTTACTTTTCCAGGGCCAGGATCCCTGTCATTTCACCCAAGTCTGCTCCCAAAAAAGCCACTGATACCTCCTGCTTCACAGCATGACCAGATCCATGACACCCAAAAAACAAAACAAAAAAAACAGCCTGGATTTTTTCCCCATGCTCCTTTAGGGAATATCAAATGACACGCTCAGAGACTATACTTGGAGACTCCACTGTAGTCTCTTGAAAACAATTCTGCTTTTTATTTTTTAAAAAGCAAACAGCATTCTTCAGGGATCATTATGTTCCTCCGTGAGATAAAGTCCATATCCACAGACAGGGTAATTGAGGTGGCTCTTCTGTCTCAAGCCACATGCATTACCCCCTACCTGCACTCAAAGGCTACATTCAACCCCTTGGTGCAAATTCAGCTCAACAGCCCATTCTGGCCAAATGCTACCATTGATTTTAAAATCAAGAACTGGCATTGAGATTTGTCTTGTAACTCTGTCCTCTCGGAGTACTAAGACCACCAAGCACTCTGGGTGTCAGACATCAATGCAAATAAAAGACAGGAGCAAAAGCAAGGAGCAATCGTGCAGGATCCAAGTGGACAATCTTTACTTACTGCTCCAGAGAATAGTAAAGGAAACCCACATCTGGAACCACAAGTAAGAGAAATTAATTTTATTAGTCAAAATAACTGTTCCAGACTAAGGCCTTGTAGACCACATAACAGCTCTGAATGTACTCCCCAGGCCTGATAAATGGTCTCAATAACAGATATGCAATTATAGTCAATAAAACCTCCATGATCTGCAACACTACCATCACCTACAGTCACCAAGGAAACTGGGATACTAGCTTTTAAAATAATACACTTTTGTATTCTTCAAATTTCAAATCCTGTATCTTAAATCCTTGTCATCACCCATCCTCCAGAATATGCCCAATGCAATGGTGCCTGACTGGAAACAACTGCCTCAGCCAAGCAGACCTAGTCCAGGAGGCAACAAGGACAGCTTGTTTTTCTTCCGAATCCAGGGATCAGGCAGTCTGATGTGCTGTCAATGCTACCAAAGTTATCAGCCATTCTGTCTTAGGTGGGAAAGAAAGGTGACCCACGAAGGAAAAGGAGCTGCAGTGAGTTATAGGGAGTGCTACCCATGAAGTGGCAGATCTTTTCATCAAAAGTTGAGGGTGCGAGGAGAGTGGGGAGAAATGCACTTTGCTTCTTTCCTCTTAAAGCCCTTCCCACGATTACACTCAACTCCAGCTTCTCTTCTGGGGCCCAAACACCCATCCTCTGGTGATGCTCAGATCCATAACAGGCTAACACTAGACTTTGCTGAAGCAAATCGCTCCACAATCTCTGTCTAGACAACATGAAATTGTCACAAATGACATCTAAAGTACAATTAGCAGAGAAACTGCAATTTCCACTCTCCTCCCCCGCTCACCAGGAGAATCACACATTAGCATCCTCCAGATTGTCAATCAATGCCTCAGTGATGAAGATTAACTCTGCGCGCACTGGGAGATGCTTCAGTCCCAGCTTGCTAAAATAGGCTGCATTTTTTTTTTTTTTTTTACTACAAGGAGATATAAATTGCCTTCTGTTCAGCAGGACTCTGTTGTGATCTCAGCAGACCTGTGGACACAAGTACCTGTAGACAGGATCTGGGAGTTTCCATGCTACCTCCCTCTTTGGTTACCCGGGGGCTTCAAACAGAAGCAGTAGCTAAGAACAGGGACCCAGAAGTCCAAGTTACAGGGCAACACAATTTAAAAATAAGAGAAAGCAGGAGATAGGGAATAAGGTG